TTAGAATGGTTTCTGTATTTTCATGTTTACTACTATGTTTGTCATCGATAGACTTTAATATGTTCAGATATAGTCCTTTTTACCTGTAGTTTCTTCAGACTTCTGTCATGAAGAGATGTAGAATTTTGTTAAAGGTCTTTTCTACTATGTCTATTAAGATCATATGATCTTTGTTCTTAATTCTGTGTATGAGCTATATTGTGTTCATTGATCTTCAGTAGATATCTATTAAGTCCATTGAGCTAAAGTGTTATTTAATTCTGAAATTTCTTTGATTTTTTTTTTTGGTCGGTCATGGGGCTTAAACTTTGGGCCTGAATGCTGTCCCTCAGCTCTTCAGCTCGAGGCTAGCACTCTACCACTTAAGCTACAGCCCCACTTCTGATTTTCTGGTGGTTTGTTGGAGTTAAGGGTCTCAGGGTCTTTCCTGTCCGGGCTGGCTTTGAACTGAGATCCTCCTCCTGAGTAGCTAGGATTATAGGCGTGAGCCTCCAGCACCCGGCTTCTTGATTTTTTTTGTTTGTATAATCTATTGGTGAGGGTGGGGTATTGAAGTTTCCCACTATTACTATGTTGAGGCTATCTGTGCTTTTATGTATAGAATGTGTTCATAAATTTGAGTATGCCATTATTTAGTGCACATATATTTATAACTTTTATATCCTCTAGTCAGTTGGTTTCCTTTATCAGTATGAAGTGACCTTCTTTGTTCTTTTAGCTAATTCGTGGTTGAAATCTGCCTTATCAGATATGAGTAGAGCTACTCCTACCCATTTTCAGGTTTCATTTCCATCCTTTGACCTTAAGTCTGTGTTTGTCTTTGCCAGTGAGCTGTATTTCTTGTGGGGAACAAATGGGGAGGTCTTGTTTATAATTCCCAGATAGAGATCTTCAACATAGTTTTAATACTTTGCAAATCCCTCCTGAAGTTACATGGAGCCATGATGCTACCTTGGATTATGAAGTGCTCAGTTCCTACATTGCTGCATGAGGCTCCCCTGCTTAATTTTTACCACTGCAGGATATTCCATTACATGCACCTGCTGTAACTAGTGAATTGCTTTCTGGTGCTTCAGTGTTGATCTTTGACACTCTTTCCCATTCCTTACTTCACTGTGCCTCAGCCAATTTTTGGTATAAATTCCCAGAACAAGGATTACAGAGATTATGAGAACTTAATATTGACATATCACTGAAATGTTGTTTGTTATATCTGATATGACACATCAACATGTTGACCTCTGGATTAAATACATTTCTTAAATATTTTAAACTTTTATGTGAACATAGACAAAAATATTGACCCATGGACAATCTTGTGCCTTTGTCCTATCCTCATTTCCATTGCGTTGTTTGGCATCAAATACCAAATAAAGTATCATTTTCTAATACATAGATTAAGTATATATTAAATTTTTTTGTAACGAGAAAGTTAATGTTTACCTTTAAAAGCAGACCATGTTTGTCCGAAACATTGTTCACATTTGTTCTAACGTGTGATTTGGAACGTCAAGAAGGTGGTTAATAAATACCTGAAACCAAGATCGAGTTAATAGGGCAAAGCCTGGCAGCTGGTCATTCCTGCCTGGCAACTCTGGCCAAGCAAGTCACACTGGGTGCCTCCATCACCATTTCTCCTCCGATTCAGTGGCACCTGGATTTGTGTTAATTCTGCCCCCCACATGGCTCTGAGAGCCATGGCTCCTCTCCATTTCCCTTGCTGGGATCCCATGGTCTCTTGCATGTTCCTGCAATAGCTCCTCACTGGTTTCTCTGCTCCAGGATTATGCTCTTTGCCAAGATTCCTGCATACCTCCACGCTGTGACTTAAAGTCAGTGTCCTGAAGCATGGTTTCAAGCACATCAGCAGGGTATCTCTTCAGGACCTCTGGCTTCTCCTGCCCTTCCAGATGGACTTGCATTTTTCTTGGCTGACCATGTTTCCCTCAAGTGCTTCCCTGTGCCCAGAAAGATCTTCCCTTGTGTTGTACACCTCCTAGGACCACTCCCTGATCAGTCCTTCCACGCACCCACCCTCCTGGATCACTTCCATTTATCCTTTAAGGTAAATGCAATATGCTTCCCTTAGAAGTTTTCCAAAGGCCATCTGCCCTGCCAGTACTATCATAGCTAAAGTTTTCATCACCACTGAGGAAAGTTGCTCTACCCCACTCTGCATCCCCACCATTGTACTTCCCATTTTCATTGTAACCACATCTTGTCTTATCTCTATCTCTGAACACAAGAACTTGTTCTCTTGGTTCTCTGAATAGATCCACCCATGTTATCAGCATATAGTGATGGTTTTTGTGTTTTTACTTTTGTTTTGTCCCAGTCCTGGGGCTTGAACTCAGGGCCTAAGTACTGTCCCTGAGCTCAAAGCTCACACTTGAGTTGTTAACCCACAGATCCACTTCCAGCTTTTTGGTAGTTTATTGGAGATAAGACTTCTCTCTCCAGGGCTGGAAAGGTGGCTCAGTGGTAGAGTGCTTGCCTTGCATGCATGAGGCCCTGGGTTCGATTCCTCAGCGCCACATAAGCAGAAAGAAAAAAGCCAGAAGTGGTGCTGTGGCTCAAGTGGTAGAGTGCTAGCCCTTGAGCTGAAGAACTGAGGGACAGTGTCCAGGCCCGGAGTTCAGGCCCACGACCAGACCCAAAAACAAACAAACAAACAAAAAAGACCTCTCTCTCTAGGCTGGCTTCAAATCATAATCCTCATATCTCAGCCTCCTGAGTAGCTAGGATGGCAGGCATGAACCACCAGCACCAGGCCTGTAGTGATGTTTCATGAAAGCATGGCATTCTTGGTTGTAAATGATAGAATGCAACTCTGACAGGTTTGCATCAGAAATGGAAGAAGTGAGAAGACTCTTCTAAGCCCACAGAATCACCCAGAGAACCAAGCTTTGTTCAAAGCTAAGGCTACCAGGAAGTGGCCTGGAATTGCTCCCAGAGCTGTTTCCCTGGGCGGGGGGGGGGGGGGGGTCACCATTGTCCCTTCCACCAGAGCATGGCATCTCCACAGCTCAATTCAATAGCTCCAGTTCATCTGTTTACCACACAGTGGGTAAGGACATAAGATGTCTTCTGTAGAAATGCTCTGAAGATTAAAAAGCAAACACTGAAACACACAGTCTGTGCCCAGGGGTCTCACAAACCAGTCACCATATTCATATCAAGTGTTACAGAAAAAAAGATGTATCATAGCTAGGTGTCAGTGGCTCATGCCTATAACCCTAGCTACTCAGGAGGCTCAGAGCTGAGGATCAAGGTTGGAAGCCAACCCAAAAGCAAAGTTTATCTCCAAGTAACTAACAAAAATCCAGAAGTGGAGCTGTGGCTCAAGTGGTAGTGCTCTACCCTTGAGAGATTAAAAATAAACAGGCAAGAGAGTCTTTCCTATCTTCTACCTTATTCAAAATCAGGGATGCCAGATAAAATAAATGTGATGACACAGAACTAAAACATCATCCATGTTTATCTGGAATTAGAACTCATTGCATACATCTGGTCCTACTACCCTGAATAAAATACCTGGTATCCAATGTACCATGATAAAAATGGCTAGAGTGAAGAGGAAAATTGGTGGGTGATGCTGCTCCCTGCTGGTGAAATGTGACAACATCCACCATCTCCAAAAGTACAGCCAATAGTGCAAGTCAGGAGAGTTGGGGTTCTATCCTCTTTCTATTCATTTAGTCTAAACTTATTACTATTTCAATATACTATTGTTTTCACTGGTGCTTATGTTTCCTCTTGACTGTGGTTTTATACTTTTGTTAGCAGACTTAGTAAAACATCACTGAACATCAAGAACTTACAATTCAGGGCTAGGAAGGTGGCTCAGTGGTAGAGCACTTGCCTTGCATGCCCGAGGCCCTGGGTTTGCTTCCCCAGACACCACGTAAGCAAAAAGAAAAAAAGCCAGAAGTGGCGCTGTGCCTCAAGTGGTAGAGCGCTAGCCTTGAGCTTAAGAGCTGAGGGACAGTGCCCAGGCCAGATCCCAAAAAAAGAAAAAAAAAAAAGAACTTATAATTCACTATTGGATTCCTTCCTTCTTCCCTTCTTTTCATTCTTTTTCTTACTTCTTTCCTTCTGTTTCTTCCTTCCCTTTCCTTCTTTCTTTTTCACCCTTCCTTTCTTCCTTTCTTCCCTTCCTCCCTTTCTTTCATCTTTCCTTCTTTTTCTTTCTTCTTTCTGTCTCTTCCTTCTTTCCCTCCCTCTCTTCCTTCTTTCTTTCCTTCCTTCCTTTCTTTGTTCCTTCCTTCCTTCTTTTTTTTTTTGTTGGTCGTGGGGCTTGAACTCTGGGCCTGGGCGCTGTCCCTCAGCTCTTCAGCTCAAGGCGAGCGCTCTACCACTTGAGCTACAGCGCCACTTC